GTGCTGCAACTAGCTGAGTGTCAGGTGATCGTCAGTGACCACAGAAAGACGCGAAGTCCTGACCGGCAACGAATGGCTGTTATGCGGTCCAGCACTCCAAAAAGAACGACTAAGGCAACAGGCACTCAGCACCACGTCTTCCAGAGCTGGCCCGTGCCACGCCGACTCGCATATTCCCGCCCACTTTAAGCAAAGAAAATCTCTGCATTTTCCTCATCAAAACCTCAGGCCGGAAATTTATACCGTCTAGACAGCGGCCATTTGGGTCCTAGAGAAGGCTGAGACAGCCACTGGCAAGGCGGGGCACACCGCATTCAAACGAGCGACGCCTCCGATGCAAAATGCGAGTGGCTGTCGTGCTCTGAGAGACCGTCGTCTCGCCCGACCTTTGTCCCGGGGTTGGACGTGCGGGTCGGGCCGGGCCACCGTGCCGTCAAGCACGTCTGCCACGCCGTGCCGCGCCGGCCGTGCCAACAGAGGGTGCCCGCAGGGAGGCGACTGAAGGGCCGGGCTTGGTGTAACGTCCAGTGGCCCGTCCAGGGGCGATGGACAGATGGAGTGGAGTGGCTAACAGTGGACTGGACGATGTGGGTGGGTAGAGAGAGGTTAGGCGTAGGGGAATGGCAAGAATTTAAAATCTTGTGGCATTGGTGAACACTGATATCTTTTCATCATTGTTCATCATCATTTTAACTTTCGTACATTTTTCTAGCTGTTGTCCTCCATTCCCATCTAAAGCTCCATTTTACTAAGCCCGTTCAGAGCCGTACCCATTCACCCTAAATGCTCCCCTGTCCATCCCATGTCGCTCCACACGCGCTGGAGGCCCCGCGTCCGTCTAGACGGACGTACCGTACCGTGGCTCGTCTAATCAAAACGAAGATTGGTCGTCCAACCACCGGAAAGGATCTCTCTGGTTAGAAGAGCAGAACGCTGGCGCTCGCCGACCAAGACACATCACTCATTTGACGCTAGACCCGCGGCGTTAAAAGCGGAGTAAATGCGAGCATTAATCTGAAATGGTTCTGTGAGTGCCGTTTCGGTTCCATGTATATTAAAACATGTCTGCAAGTGCTTTAGTGAGATTCTGTGAGGCAGAGCCTGATTGTGTGGAATCGGTAATTCAAACTATCCCTTTCAAAAGACCCTATATCTTTGAAATGAGCAACCGTGGGTATAGATCGGTTACAATGTTGTCATCAAATTGCAATGAAATATGGTTCCATCAGTTAAAAAGAGCCTCAGCAAAGAATCAGGACCGTTGTTGAAAAGCGGACCATGTCATCTTGTTTCATTTACCTATGCATAATGATTACACCTATTTTCATAATCACATCTACTATCCTACATAGCCTGCAGTAATATACATTGAAAAAGTCCAATGCCTCAGTTCAGACTTTTCAGCATTTTTGTTTGGAATTACGGAATGATGGACGATAAAGCACAACTCAGGTAGCTCCGTTTCTACATCTACATCATGGACATCTTTTATTGGGGATGTTTACTGTCCTGCAAATGCGATGACATGTAGCGCAGCAAGTTGGACATCTGACTGCTGTTGATGTCCTTACCACGCCATTATCTACAAGACAAAAAAAAACGTACCATGGCAGGGACTGCAGGAATTCCCGAGAACTGCATGCGGTGTCTCCAATGGGAAGACCTGGAGATACGAGTATACCATTGATTAATGCGCACAAATACAAGCTATGTTGCCATGGTTAAATGTTTCAGGTCGCATCCACGTAAAGAAGATGACAGATCACGGATGAGAAATATTTCTTTCTGGATGTATCCCGGCTAGCGATCTTTACGAGATCTTTTTTAAGTGAATGGTTGAGCGTTAATGGCGCTGCCAAGATTGAATAGGCTGACGATGTTGATCGAACTCGCATCATATCCAGAGGCATTGCTCTACTACTCCAAGTTTTCAATGTAGAAAAATCATTTCTTTTCAAAATTTCCACAAATATGACGTTGTAAATTCAGACAGCATCCTCCTGCTACCCTTGAGAGGCGCCCTCTCCCCTTCTGACGAGCAGCATTTGTGCGGCATTTCCGTGACCTTGTGGCCACCGTTCTCCATGTCACCAGGCGGCACCTGCTCAGTTGACCGGACAACGCGGCGGGTCGGGCGTCTGCCGATGGCAGTCCGACTGTCGGGCTACCGGCACCGTCCGCTTCAGGTGACGGCTGGTGCCGGCACATGATAAACGATAGCCGCCGGCCATCGCTCCTCACCGGATGACTGAGATTGATGGCGTGGTTGCAGGGGAAATCAGGCCCATTTGCGCCGACGCCGACTGAACGACATCTCGTCACTGAGCGGCACTGAGCGGCCCGGCGGAGGGATCTCCATCCCGGAGATATTCGAAGAGACAGTGGGACTGTTATGCGTGGTGAGATATTACCGAGAGAACGTCATTTATGAGTGGTGAGATGCGCCAAGTCATGCTAGTTTAACGCTTGAAGCTGTCTGTCAAACAAGAAAAATAGTTGCTGGTTTCATGGTCCCTTATTATCCCGTAACTTCAACGACAGTCAAAATTGACACGTCACAAGACTCCTTGGACTCTGGTGTCTATCTCGCATTGTTGCCTGCAATATAAAACGTCTCTGTTCAGTATATCACAAAGCGGGTCGTAAGATTGTTCTTTTCCCGCTTTTGAATTTTTAATTAAAGCAGCTTACCGGCTCTGGCAAACATGGGTCGTGCCGCGAGCCAGCGATCAAGGCTGAACAAAGTGGGCTTATGCCCGCGGCGAGGCTGTTCAGACCATCAAAAGTCTTCAACTTGGGGCAATAATTTGCTGCCAATATGCTGCAGCTCTGAACCGTCTTGGAGACCTGATGTAATCAAGGGATGGCCGTTTCAAACTTGAAGCAATATCGTGGCACAAACAGTCTGGCATCTTATTGATTTCAGCAATGAAAGTTAGAAGACAAATAATGTAAAATATTTCTAGTGTATTTTGTTCAACACCAAGTAACCGTAATGCCTTGTAATGTTTTTCCTCTGACCTATCGTTGGAACACAGTGAAGTTGATGGTAACATTAAACATATGTCTTAAAATATCAGATAAACAAAGTTCCCAATTATTTCGTATTTAATATTCGCAGTTCGAAATACATTTCCTCCACTACTCTGTCTTTCATCGTCGTAGTTACAGCGTCCACATTTCCTAGCCACGCCCGTATAACTTTGCTTATACCCTTTCAAACCCCCACCCACTACGCCCTCCTCCAATACCGTAGTTCACCGCTCTGCCAATCACTGCCTCAAGCAGTGTACCACTCTGCGCACACAATACGACCGCCCGGTAGTCGACGCAACCAAATGAAAAACACCTGCTAGCCGCTCATTACGCGTGCTCTAACCACTGGCTGCCCGCTCCCGCCGGCGACGCTCCGCAAAAACAGCGCTCATTCCGGACCGACGAGACCCCGCTCTGAAAAGCGGTGCGCTTTTTGTAGACCGCGAATTACGCACAAAGGGAAATATAGTCGCGATCAAAACAAAGACGCCACCGACGCGACGGTCGACGCCCCAGCGCGGCGGCCGGACTGGCACACAGGAGGGTACTCGGGCTCGATCATAGGCCAGGCTCGAGTGGCGACTGTCGCGCGAGCGTCGCCGATTATCGACAATTACTTCTGGGAAGATAAGTGCCTGTTGTGCTTCCTTAATGTGGCAGATGACGGCCGATAAGGCGGCGTGAACAACAGGCGGTTACTGCGGACGACTGGCGACAACACACACACACAGGCGCGCATACACGCATACAAACAGAGAGAGAGAGAGAGAGAGAGAGAGAGAGAGAGAGAGAGAGAGAGAGAGAGAGAGAGAGAGAGAGGGGTAAGGTGGAGGAAAATAAAAAATGCGAGAAGAAGCGAAGGATGTGGGAAAGGGAAGAGAAAGCGAGAGGAGGGAGTGGTTGAAGACACAGACAGAAACACCGAGGGACAGTTGGAGACCCAAGGGATGCCTTCGGGGATGATTATGTCTTGTCATAGATGCTTTCTAGGTCAACAGACAAGACTGTTGTCTCAGCGCGGAAAAACACAGGTTTATTGGCAGCGCTAAACAATTATGTAAGCATGACCAGCGTAACGGTGGACAATGGAAGCACATTGACGCGTCATATGTGTCTCCTGAGAGTTGCGCTAGATATATGGTGCTTGAAAGGTAGATCTGTCACATCAAAAGCATTCATTGATATGCAGAGTGGCCATGATTTTGTGATTCACTGTCCCATTTAGTTATATGCACTTTGTTGCCGCCATCAGGAAAGTTTCTACCTATCCTACAGCAGATTTTGACTTACCTGCTCTAAACACACCAGTCTCATGCCAAACAAACGTAAGGCCATGGTCCTGGTTATTCTGATCTATATAGTATATATGCAGGCCATCTTAATTATCCAGTGTACCGTGTACGTTGAGCGCTGTTCGTCTCTCACAGTACCAGCGCGGCCCTGATCGTTCAACGTCTACTGGTCGGCTTTCAGCACTCGGCCTCAGTTCGCCAGCATTTCAATGGAGAATTGAAAGAAGAAAAAACGATGCAGAAAGCAGAGCCACTATTGATCTACGTCGTTCCGAGCTCAGAATTGAAAACAGCCACCGTCCTCGGCCTACTGCGCACGGTAAACGAAAAAGTTTAGCAAGTTTTAAGTCGGAAACAAACAAAATCGGGTAAAAACGTCGCAGCAGGCGGCATTCGTGCAAACTTGTGCCGGAGGCGAGGATCGTCGGCCCCTGGTCAGGGGGGGGGGGGGAGAACTGGAATCTGTGGCTTACGGAGTGGGCTTGCAGGACACGTGACAGTAGTTATCGGGATCTGGGTGCATACCTCGTATGTACCTGGACCGATGGACTGACATAAAACCACCATGGAGAAGGCAGTCAAGCGTCGCTTATCTCATAAGGGATTCTTAGTTCTCTTAGGCGCTGTTTCTCTTGTCGTTGATTTTGTGCATGGGTGCGGCAGCGTGCTTACCTTGCTGGGAGCGACGCTGACCTTCGGTCTGTCAGTCATTTTCGCCACAGTTACGCCACCAATCTCAGCCAAAGTGCTGACATATTGACCGGCCTGGGGGCAAAGAGGCTAGGTCAGGTCAGCAACTTGGTTTATCGCTTTCTCTCTCAATCTCTTTTAGTCTCTCCCGCTCTCTCACTCTCTCTCTCTTTTCCTCTCTCTCTCTGTCTCTGTCTGTCTGTCTGTCTGTCTATCTGTCTGTCTGTCTGTCTGTCTGTCTGTCTGTCTGTCTGTCTGTCTGTCTGTCTGTCTGTCTGTCTGTCTGTCTGTCTGTCTGTCTGTCTGTCTATCTCTCTCTTTCTCTCTCTCTCTCTCTCTCTCTCTCTCTCTCTCTCTCTCTCCTCTCTCTCTCTCCTCTCTCTCTCTCTCGTCTCTCTCTCTCTCTCTCTCTCTCTTCTCCCTTTCCCGCCAAAAAACGCACGAAGCCTAGTTATAAACAGAAGCCACAGTAGTCTGGTCATTATTTTATTATTTTACACTGGCTCTCAAATATCCCAAGTAAACACATTCGGACAGATAGACAGGCAGACAGACAGGGGCACAGATAGGCAAAGATTCAGCTATCCAGCAGCGTAATATTCTCGTGAAGCCTCACACGCGTCTCTGTGTCCCCAATACTCCAATCTCCACTTCAAACAACAGACATCCAATGCAGCGGTGATAACCCGAAACTGATTTGAATCGGGAACGTCCTCAGATGAAAGAGTTCCGAATATTGGGAGCTAAGAAGCTCCGAAGTGCGCATTACAACTACAGAGAACAAAGGAAGAACAAAGAAGCGGAGTTCGAAGATTTTATGCAGACCCAATGTAATTCAGAAAAAGTTGGGAACTAAAAAGTAAGGGAACGAAAGAAGAAATAAATTGGCTATGAGCGAACCGTGCAAGCGAAAAATTGAAAATGACAAATGGTCAACAGCAATGTAAATAGTCCCATTGTCATCATCATAAATCCATTCTCTTCATCAGCATCATCGCATCATCATCATCATCATCATCATCATCATCATCATCATCATCATCATCACATCATCATCATCACCATCCGTCATCATCATCATCACCATCACATCATCATCATCATCATCATCATCATCATCATCATCATCATCCATCATCATCATCATCATCATCATCA